TGCTGAAATGAAGCCGCTGTGTCGTTTGTCCCAGGTGCGAGAGACGCTGGCCGCCGAGACGGGGCTGAGCGTGCGGGTGGTGCAGGTCTGGTTCCAGAATCAGCGGGCCAAGGTAGGTGAGGTGGGGACGGGCCGCGGGGACCAGGAGCTCCCTTGGGTCCGATGCCAGAGCTTTGCTCCGAGGGCCTGCTCCCTAGAGCCACTGGTTCCAACCCCCTGCCTCCTCTTCCTTCCTGAGCAGATGAAGAAACTAGCCAGGAGGCAGCAGCAGCAGCAGCAAGATCAGCAAAACACCCAGCGGCTCAGCTCAGGTACCGCCCGCCGCCTCCTAACCCCCTTGCGGCATGAGACCCTTCCCCGTCCTCTGCGGCACTGAGCCACCTTCTGCTGTCTGCGTCCCCCATGACCTGTCCTAGATACCGGACTCCCAACCGTCCAGCCAGGCTCCCCCATTCTGCTGCAAGACAGGCCCCTACTGCAGTCCCTAACTTGACAGCATCCCACCATCTCTGCTCAGGACCCCCCCAACACTGGTTGCATGTTACCCCCAAATCCACTAGCCTGTTGTGGACTGTCCTGCCTGGGGGGAGAGGGATGTATGTCCACTCCTTAGCCTGGAGTGCTGAAAATGTTAGCGTCCATCGTAAGATAACCCCTCAGCACTGAGATCGCAGCAAGGGTGAGTGACGTGCGACCTTAGCAAACAGCCAGTTGGCTTGTAGCTTCTGCAGAAGGGGCCCTGCCAAAGGGCCCAGGATCAGACCCACCTCCTGCTGACATGGTTCCATCCGGGTTACAATAAGATGAACAGCTCGCTTAGAAGCCCAGCCATAGCATGTGACTCCATAATCTCCTGCAGCAGTGAGTTCCGCTGGTGGTTCGCATGCTGGGTGAAGCAGCGTTTCTTTTTTGTGCACCGCTTACGGCATAAGGGCGAGGGGCCAGAGATGGGGCGAGGAAGCAGCTGCTGCCAGGGAGGGAGAGGGTCTCGTTTCTGCTAAGACCCCTTGGTGCTGCTCTGCGAGTGGAAAGGAGCCTGAAAGGGAACTGGAATGACCTCTTGGCCAGTGGAGACCTAGCGGAAGGTCCACCGGTCCTGCTCTCCCACCCTGAGCAAGGGACAGAGGAGTTGGGACCCGTGTGTAGGATGGGCTGCCCCGTGGTGGGAGACACGGCCCAATCACACGGCTCTGTGTCTGTTCTTGGCATCCCAAGGCCCAGAGGGAGTCCTGGGAAGCCGAGGGTCAGTCAGCGCAGCCCCGAGCAGGCTCTAGCGTACGCTGCAGGCCACGGTGCTCCCGGATGGCCCCAGAATCCAGGGGCTAGAAGGGTCCCCGTTTCTGCAGGGAAGGAGGGATGAAGCAGCACGGAGGGATGCCGATTCTGTCCCAAGAGGGCCAGGCGCTCGGGTGACGGGGCAGGAATGGGGGGGGACTAGAGCAGCATTGGGCTCTGACGTTGCTTCTCCCTTGTCTTGCAGCTCAGGCAAACAGTGGTGGGAGCGCTGGCCTGGAGGGGCTCCTGAACCCATACACCACGCTGCCCCCCCCGCAGCAGCTGCTGGCTATTGAGCAGGGCGCGTACAGCTCGGACCCCTTCCGGCAAGGCCTCACCCCGCCCCAGATGCCAGGAGATCACATGCACCCCTATGGTACGCGCCACAGAGGCCTGCTTTCCAGCTGCCAGAGCCGGCCCAGAATGGAGAGGCCCCCCCCCGTAACTTGCACATACACACACACAAAGTGCATGTCTGCACACACATGTGAATGTGTGTGTGCATGTGTGAATGTGTGTGCATGCCTGTGTGTGTGTACTTGTGCGTGCACATGTGTGCACACGTGAATGTCTTCGTGTGTGTGCACATGTGTATGCACATGAGTGTATCTGCATGTGTGTGCATATGTGTGTGCACATGTGTGTGCACGCACATATTGTGTGTGCGTATGGGTGTGTGCGCATGCACACGTGTGCGCGCATGCACACGTGTGCATGCGTGGATGTGTGCTTGTGCGTGCACCTGTGTGTGTGTGTGTGTGTTTGCGTGCACGCACGCATGTGGATGTGTTTGCACGGGTGCAGGGATGTGTGTGCATGCAAGTGTGTGCGCACATTGTGTTCACGTGTGTGCGTGCACGTGTGTGAGCGAGCATGCACTTGGATGGGATACCAACTCCCCTTCTAGTGACTGGTGTCCACGGCTAATGGTGATTCGCACTGAGCTGAGTGCAGGCCTTGTGTTACGGAGCAGACAGATCTATTCTGCTGAGGGAGTTGGGCAGCAGCTGCTCCTCCGCCCTGCCCAGCCAGCTTCCTTCCCGACACGCCGCGGAGCACCCTCGCGGGGAACAGGGCAGGCCGGCACGGTCCGAATCCAAAGCCCTGCTTAGCTTCCGCACGTCGCTGCCGCAGCCTGTGTTGTGGAATAGTGCGAGGCCCAGCGTGCACGAGGCAGTCACAGACCGGCGCTGGGTTACAGCACGGGCCACGTAGGTGACGTCTGCAGCCAAACATGTGCCGGCTGCAATCTGCGTTCGGCAGGAGGGGGCTGGCTCAGAGCACTGGGTTTCTCTTCTTGCTCACTTTTTATTTATAAAATCCTCTTGCATCACACTCGCAAGACAGAGCGAGCAGGGTGTGGCCTTGAGGGACCTATCAGAGCTGTGTACATGGCGGGCCATATGCCTCCCATGATGTGGGCCAAGCGACAGCGTCGGTCCGTGCCTCAGTTTCCCCTTTGTAAAGTAGAGGCAGCATCTCTCTCATGGGGGGTCACACAGACTGCCTAAGCCCTCTGCCTCTGCACAGTTGTGCTGGGAAGGGCCAGAGAGACAGTGACACAGCAAAGCACACCGCGAGGGCTGTCCCTCCCCAGTCACACCTCACCTTCCGTTGTCTGCCTCACTTTCAGGCGCCGAGCCCCTTTTCCACGACATGGATAGTGACGATACCTCCCTTAGCAACCTGGGCGACTGTTTCCTGGCGCCGTCAGAAGCTGGGCCGCTGCAGCCAAGACTAGGAAACCCCATTGACCATCTGTACTCCATGCAGAACGCCTATTTCACTTCATGAGCCTTCGTCCTGTCGCCCGGCCAGGCTCGGGTGCTTTGACATTACCGGTGAAACTCACTGCAGCTCTGGGCCTGGGCTTGTGTCATGGGAATGCTGTCAGACACTGTTTTATAGCTCAGTATTTTCAAGGACTGACTAAGTTATGAATCACATAGTGTAATGTTTCTATTAGCATCCTAGTAGTAGACACCACGTATTTATTATAGCTGGCCTGCATTTCTCAACTTGAAATTTCAACGGGGAAAAAAACATGGTTCTACATTTCTATTAAATGTTGCCATTCCCCCACTCCCCCCATCCGGCTATACAAAGGGCTGATTAAAAACAATGATTCGTGTCTTTATTTTTATCTTGAAATGCAGACGAAATTGGGGTGGGGAATGAAAAAAACGGGGCACAATCGGTGCAAAGATTTCATAATTCCATCCTCCCCTTGTGATTGACTGGGATTTATTTCAGCCACGCCCTGCGATATCCAGGCCACTCAAGTGTGTCATAGGGCATGACCTTCTGGCCTTCCGTTCTATGAACACACGATTTCAGGTCTCCTGCAGACATGGTCAGAGACGTCCCATTTTGGCAAGATTTGAAAACGCAATGGGAAAAAATGTGGAAATGGTCACTGTATTTTTTTTCCTGTTTCTCTCTATTGATAAAACCAGGGACTTTTAATATAGACATTCTCATACAAGTATAGACAGCTAGGAACTCCTAATCTCTCTCGCTAACGGGGAAACTCCAGGCAAGAGGTAGGTATGTTTCCATGTGTGCGCGTGGGGAGGTGTAAGTATGTCTGTACTCCACAGATGCACGTGCCATAGAGAATCAACAAAGTTTATTCCTAATTCTATCAGAAATGTACTGTACAGCAAAAGTAACTTTATTTTCAGCGTGAACCGTATTTAAGGAAATGCTCGATGCACTTAAGTTATAAGAGACTGATTGACTTTTATAAAGGTTATGTTTAGTTTGCAAAAGCCCTCCGGCACGGGGAAGGAACATTTGCTTCGGTGAAGGCGAGAGCTCTTTGGTGCGTTCAGATTGGCTCGGTGGCTTTTAAAGGCCGGTTATAATCCAAAGAGCATCCGTGTCAGCCACCAGAATCTGATCTTGCTCCACTGAAGTCAAAGGCATGGACATCAATGGGGTCGGATCAAGTCCCCTCGAGTCTTCAAAGTCCAGCTGACCACCTTGGGAGATTTCCATCCCTGACCCCGGTAAAGCGCTAGGAGCGTGAACACGTTTCCCCCACGCATCACCAGCAAGCGGTTTAGCCCTAGACGCCTGCAGATGCGGTGACCAGCACGGGCTCCTCAGTCTCCAAATACAGACCTGACCCAAATCCCAGTAAAGCCAATGGAAAACCTCCCATTGGGATCGCTGTGTGTTGAACCCGGTCCTGGGAGGAGTTTTTCCATGATCCTGGAGTAGGCAGATCCTGGTGTGACCATTAACAGAGGCTGGATTTGCCCCGGGGCCAGCCCTGACTAGCTATGGTGCAATGGCAGAATATAGGGGCCAGGAAATTACAGCTTCATAGCTATGCATTAGTGCTGGAACTGGTGGGGGAGGCTGCTGCACCCCCTGGATTGAAGTGGGTTCCATTATAGCCAAGGTTTCCAGCTCACCACAGCCAACCTAACTCATGTACGTGGATAGAAGAAGTCTTCTACTGACCTAGCTATTGCCTCTCCTGACGGCACGTTGGGAGTCCCCGCTCCTGCTGGCGTAGTTAGCAGCTACACGGCACCATGGTAGCGTTTTAAGGGGCGACAAGCCCTTACGTGCTGCTGCTGAGCACAGATGACTTTTCCAGGACCCTGGCAGGCAGCGTGAGGGCCACACTTCGGGTTTGTTCATGCGACCAGCTGGGGCGTGACTCTACCCTGTGCTAGCCGTGTGGGCGGAGGTGGGCATGCGTGCTTTGCTCCCGTTGCAAAGCAGAGTAGCTCACCGGGTACTGCAGAACGCTGAGTGCTCGGGGCAGGGTGAGGTTGGGAAGGGCCGTCCACTTCCCACCCGCACGCTGCACTGAAGCCGCGGGCACCTTGGCGGCGTTTTTCTCCGACTCGAGCCCTGCGCGGAGGCGGGCGCAGCCCCATCCTTCTCCTGGTAGCGTTTCTGTGTTGTGTAATCGTGTGCTGTTGTCCTGGATGCATTATGCAAACCGCAACATGTAGGGGAACAAAAGGAACGGTGGCGCGGTTGTGTCCGGCGAGGGGCCGTGGGAAAGATCTGACACCAACTTTAATGGAGGGGGGGAAAAAACTGTGCTAGAAGCTGACACACCCCCGGAAGTGACGTACTAAGATTGAATTAAAAATCTCTGCAAAGCGCCTGGTCTCTTTGTGTGTGTGACATGGCCTGTTTCCTCTGCCGTTAGCAGAAGGTCTCTCGGGGGCTCACCATTCACCATAGGCCCCTCTTCTGCTCTGCCCAGCTGGGGCTCCCTGTGGATGGGACTTCCCGGCCACTGCTGGCCCCACTGCTACTGGTCCAGATTGGGACTCCCAGCTGCCGGACTCCCAGCCGGATCCCGCTCCTGGCTGGACCACAGAAGTTGCTGGACCACAGAGCCCTGGATTTAGGAGGGTCAAGCGGTATTATTTTTTAACAATGAGGGCTCTATTACAGTAAGGCTAGACTGGGAGGGGGAGGGGGAGTTGGGATACCGGAGATGTCCCAGAAAACCTCTGCCACGTCCAGAGAGGGGGAGTTGGGATACTGGAGATGTCCCAGAAAACCTCTGCCACGTCCAGGGAACACGTTTGCTCTTCCGCTTTTCTTTGCAGAAGAGCAAATGCGCTCTTTCAGAAGCCCCTGTATTCCTCATTCCCCGAGGATGAAGGGAGCTTTCGAAAGAGGGGGTTTTCTGACATTTGGCCCAGTCTAGATGGGCCAAATGTCACGAGGTTTTATATAAACAAACAAGCCGGTGCCCACTCCTGCTTCTTATGTGTGGAAGCCATCTGCTTATGGAATTGGTGCATCCAAAAACAGCTTAAACTCACAGCATCTTACCTACCTGGGGCCAGCAACACCATGGTGGACTCCTTGAGCCACAACTTCTCCATGGACCATGAATGGGAACTACATCCAGAGGTTGCCAACTCAATATTCTGCCAATGGGATGGCCATCAATAGACCTCTTTCGTTTCTCTCCAGAATACCAAATGCCCCCGATCTGCCCTCGAGTGAGGCTTGGCAAATACTCCCTAGGACAGGGGTGTCCAAACTTTTTTCAAAGAGGGCCAGATTTGATGAAGTGAACATGCGTGAGGGCCGACCATTTTGCCTGACATTCTTTGAACCATTAAAATTAAATGCAAATTAACTATTTTATGCAAAGTTTATTGCAAACGGCATACTTTTCATTTCGTCACATGGATGACAAATCTAAACAGGTGTTAAATCACTCTGCCTTTCATATCTGAAGGCCAGATGAAAAAAAAATCCAGGAAGCTGAAATATATGTCAGGAACATTGTAAAGTACATTACATATTATTGGTAATAAAGGTTGTCTGTCAACTTTTAAGTTCAAAAAATATGAACAGGAACATAACACCAAGTATACATGTTGTGTCCAAATATATTTATAACTGATTTAGACCAACTGACATTAACTGAGATTTTACAATGTATTCATCTCAATACATATGGATTTGTTGGGGGCCATAAAAGATAGATATTGCCAAATTACCTGTGGGCCGTATTAAACCGGAACACGGGCCACAACTGGCCCGCATGCCGGACTTTGGACATGCCTGGCATAGATGCTTTTCTGCAAAAAGTGCTTTTGCGGAAAAGCGTCCGTGCCAATCTAGACGCTCTTTTCCGAAAATGCTTTTAATGGAAAACTTTTCCGTTAAAAGCATTTCCGGAAAATCATGCCAGTCTAGATGCAGCCATGTAATCTAGCTGTACCCTTAGGGAAATAGCCACACACAATAGAGAAGCCACCGAAAGTCCATGGCTGCCTCCCACTCAGAAATAAATCCGTCACTGCTTTGGGGTTGGAAAATCCCACTAAATAACATTTCAACATCAAAGGGTTGTGATTAGACCGGACAAAATGCTGGCGGATCCCTGCCGAGGCTGAGGGAAGGTGGTAGACAAAAAGAAATTTAAGCATACGGAGTTTCCGCCTCTCCGGGGATGCTCCAGACTTGCTCCACTGCAGGCCCTGTGTTTGCTCACTTTATGAGGCCTGAGCCAGAGGCTTTCGCCATCGGTGGGAATTTTTCCTTTCACGTCTTTGGGCTTCGGAGCAGGTCCCTCTGCCACTGGCTTTTGGCAACCATTCACGGAAGCACTTTGCACAATTCACTGTTAGGCTCGCCAGCTGCTTTCAACAAAAATCCCGAACATGGCAAACTTGGTTGAGCAAAAACAAACAAACAAACAAACTGAGAGACCAAAGAAGTTGTTGAGCAAAAAAAAAAAAAAAAATCACTGTGCCTTTAAATAGCCCCATGCTCCTCCCACCCCTGCCCCTACCAGACGCAGCAGGGGAAACTGTCCCCGTCGGGCTACCGGCAGAGGGAAACAGGAAATAGCAGACATTTCACATGTCCGGTATTTTCTGGGTTTTTTTACCAGATGGGGGACGCAAATACCACACTGTCCAGGCAAAAACCAGACACTTGGCAACCCTATTCACTGTTTCCCACAGTGGCTCTGTGGTCACCCGCCCCTCAGTCCCAGCTTTATACCAAAATCCCCACACGCCTCGCTTGCATGTAGGCAGCCCATTGGCTAGCTGTCTTTGAGCGCAAGCCCTGGCTGGTCCTGCCTTTAATTCTGGCGTTTGATTTCAAAACAGACACGCGCAGCAGGATTGTGTCTAACAAAGC